AATCCAGGTTACGCCCTCTCCCCACAAACAGAAGTTTATGTATCTCTGAGTTCTCAGTACAATACTCTGTCCAAAAGGCCACAGGTTGGCATTATCCAACCTCCCCCCCGCTCCCTGGGCAGCCATAAGAGGGAGTTATATAGGACCAGGAAGAACAGCAAGCTAGAGAAGCAGTACTCAAACATCTGGTCCCATGGGCCAGATGAGTGATGAAAGGCTGGTCCACAGGCCAGAGCTGACAAGCTGGGTTAATCCATGGACCAGATCCAGCAGGGGGGCAGCATGCAGTGTTGGTCTGTGGATGCAATCCGATGCACCAGCTCAACCCTATGCACTGGATCTAGCCATGGTGCAACCCTACACATTGGCTCAGACCTGCTCGCCAAATACAACCAAGGAGCAACCCCAAGTGTTGGTGCCATCTGGCATGTAGAACCATGTCATCCAGTCTGTGGGACTCCCTCAAAACTATGGCAATTAATGTTGCCACAGCTCCCCCAGCACCACATTTCCAGACCCCTGGGGAGGCCCATGGGCTGGATGACATGGCCCTGCAGGCGAGATCTGAGCTGTGGGCCAGAGGTTGAGCACCCCTGAGCTATAGGACACATAGCTTAATGAAATAGCTTCTGTGCTACCAGCATAATTCTGTTGGTCAGGGTGAGATTTGTAAACAACAGATCTGTGCTGGCAACAGTCCCTTGTATAAATGCTGTTATATCAACCAAAGTTTTGCTAGGTTAACTTATTTTACTTGCAGGTGTCATGGGCTGGAACAAACTATGTCAACAAATGTGCAGTTGTGTCAGTATGAGTTCTGCCCATGCTAGGAGCCTTTTGGTAGTAGAGTATATTGCTATAACTATATGCGGAAAGCCTCCAGTGCCTAGAGCTTGTCTTCCCGTACAAGAACAAGGTTTGCCAGTATAATCCCTCTTACACTGCTACAAGTTTGGGGTACAGAATTTGACTGGCAAAAATAGAACCTCAACCAGAAGTTCTGTACCTAACAAAAGAATTGGTGAATTCCCAGGCTTGTGATGTGTAGATCAGGCTAGATAACCATAGTGATCCTCTGTGACTTAAAATCTATTAAAACAATGAATCCCAAAGTCCTGGCTCCAATCTTTCATGACTGGGAAATGCTATCTATTTGTGCTCCCATTTTTTCTATTCATTATCAAGACAAAACATAAGAATTTCCATACTGCTGCATGCCAGCAAGCCAGTATAGTCTAGCGCTTGGCTTGTTGGTGATGGAGACCTAGCTCTGCAAATAAAGGTGAAATTTATTCTTAAGTCACTAACCCACTTTTAAAGACACAGAAGTTGCCTGACTGTAGCTGATCAGTTTTTGCCCTGAAACACAAAGGCAAATAATCATAAGTTTTGCAGCTTATTCACCGGCCTAGATTGTACTTGTTTTCCTTCATATGTAGCAAATTCATAGGCTTGCAGTAATTTTTAACTGCTTGGAAGGCTTGGACAGCCTGTTTTATTGTATTATTATGATCACTGAAGACAAAGAAAAGGTCTGGTACTGCACAACGTATTTGTAAAAGAACTTGCTTTTCCATAAATTTAACTCCTAAATTATTAAACTTAACTCCTAATAAGATTTTTCACAAGTTCTCACAAACTTCAGTCTTTATTCAAAAAGTTTGTGCTGTAATTCTGAGGTAGGATATGCTTCATTTTTCATACATAACAAAGTTGTTTAATTTGTGCATGAAACAAAGAGCCCCAGCACTCCATAATAAACATCTGATCCTTTACATTACTTCTGTGGTTCTGGCTCTATGATTTCCTGAGGCACTGAGTTCCCCTGGTTGCTTAAATGCTGGAGTGTTGTGTAAGGTTTGCTTTTGGGTTAGTTGGGGTTATGGTTTCCTAATTAAGTACTTTTTAAATCTTTAAGCATTTACCCAGAAATTAAGCAGACATGTAATGTTTTTTTTCCTGGGTGGGGAACAAACTCTCTCTCTCAAAAAGATTGGAATATTTTTTCCATTGTTCCATTCTCTCCCTGTGGCTTTCACAAATTCATCATTATGATCAACTCAGTAAAAAAAAATCAGATTCATCTGGTAAAATAATTAAAAAAGAGATTAAACCAGCTTAATTTAAACATCATTTTCTAAAAAACGAATTGGTCTACTGCGCATTAAGCGTCATGAAAAACTGTGCACCGATGCTACTGTGCATTAGCATCGGCTATTGTGCATTTATGCAGTAAATATTATGGGTACTAAACTTAATGTGCAGTAATTACAGTGCATTAATACATGTGTAGATATACCCAGGAGGCAGTAACTTAAATACCTTTGAAGATCAAGGCCCTGCCATCTTATACTAGGAACCATCAAATACTTTCAGGTCCTATTTCCCATTAACTTCAGTAGGAGCTGACAAAGCTCAAAGCTTCTCAGGGTCAAGCCACTAATCCCTAATATAGACACATTGGCTGTACCTACATGTGTGCTTGACTGTGGAGTAGACCTAATTAGCTGCAAAGTAAGGCATCACCATCTACATGTGCAATGCTATTAGGCTGCAGTAAATTAATTTACTAGCTTACAGTAGGGTAATTAATTATGATTAAATGCATGTGTAGATATGCTGATTGCAGTTATAAATTGCACCTGGTCAGCTCAGCCAGCAGGGAGCCACATTCCTGCCTAGCCACATGGCTCCATACTTTCATCATCCTCATGCCCCAACCAGCCCCTCGACTGTCTGATACTGTCACCCAGAGCTGACCTCCCTGTGCCCCTGGCCCTGGCATAAACTGTTCCTCCCCAGCTCAAACTGCTGTTGTCCCAAGTGAATGTGTAGATGCTGCACCCAGGAGTAGTTTACTCTGACTCAAACTGCTCTGTAATGTATTGCTTTTGAATTAATTGCACATGTAAGTTTACCCATTTAAACCAATTTGAATGATGTTTAAAATAGGTTAGTTTAATCCATTTTTAATTATATTAAACTGATTGTTTTACTGAGTTGATCATAATGCAGCTCAAGGTAATTTACATTCATCTACATTAAAGATTTGCGCAGGTAAGGCTATTTGGGTTGTATAAAAATTTGACAGGTGTTTCGTTTCGATGAGTTTTGAGCTCAAAACAGCGAAATCAAAATGAAAGACTTCAAAACAGCTTTGAAATGAAATGAGGGCACTTGAAACAAAATGAGGGCACTCAAAATGCTTTGAAAGTTTCAAAACGTGTCGAGACCAGGACTGTTTGCAGCTAAGCAGAAACTAAGGAGAGGGAGGGAAAAGAGGAGGGAAGGACTGCTGCTCTGATATTGACATCTAGCTCCCGGTTCGATTCCTCCAGCTCTTCCCAGGGGACGTGGGCCCCTGATCTGTGTGCAGGGTTTCAGCAGGCTGCTGCTACAGGCTGGGACCAGCGGCACCCACTTGGCGCAGCCCATGCCAAGCGCCAGGAAAACAGCAGTGCTGCTGTGGCAGCCTGCTGAAACCTGGCGTGCAGATTGGGGGGCCCACACCCCCCAGGAAGAACTACAGGAATGATTGGAGAGCTGGGGAATTGAACTGGGGAATTGTTCTCAGGTCCCTGAACCTTCGCCCCCCCCGAGAAGAGCTGGGGGAATGATCAGGGGCAGGTGGATCCACCCCAGCTCCCAGACAGCACACAGCAGCCTGCTGAGCCATGCTGCACCCACACCATAGGCAGCTGCCGCATGGGTGCCAGGCAGGGGCGGGGGTGATCCCCACTGCCCCCCCGCTGCCTGGGGGGGTTCTGCCACAAGTACCCAGAGGCTGCTGCCAGAACCAGTGAGTGCAGGGCTTTTTTTTTTTTTTTTAAATCTTCGCACACCGGCTGTGGAGCATGCAGATGACAGCATGCTGATCCTGCTGGCTGGGGCCAGCACCAGCACCCAAGTCTGCCCAGCGCAGCCTGCACCAAGCGCCGGGAAGAACCCAGTGCTGGCACTGGCCCTAGCCGGCAGCCTGCTGTCATCCCGCAGGCAGATCCAGGGACTCGCTCCCCTCAGGAGGACTGTGGGGCTGTGCCAGACTTCTCCTGGGGGGAGCGGGCCCCCAGATCTGTGTGTGGGATGACAGCAGGCTGCTGCTGCTGGCAAGTGATACGAGTTTTGCTTTGAACAGTTTGAGGTGCAGTTTCACAAAAACCCCCACACCTATCTCCTGGAAACTTGGCAGGCTTCATGCCCTCTGAAGGGGCTACCATCCCTGCAATTTTCATATGAAGCAGGCAAGAAATGACAAAGTTATAGGCATTTTTGTGATTCCCCATTATAGCCTATGGGCAAGATGTCAAAACGTGTCGAAACAATGTTGAAACAGCAAAACAGTTTCAATGAAACGGAACGGAACCGAACGAGCAAAACAGCAAAATGAAACACTGACCCTTCAAAACAGTGAAACGGAAGTCGAAACGAAATGGTGCTGTTTTGCACAGCCCTATATGCTTTTAGTTAGATCTGTCCTTATTTTCTAATAGAGACAACCCAAAGTATGTTAACTGAGGGCTTGGAATAACAATGAGAGGATTTGGGGTTGAAAATTAGGCTTAGTTTGCATATAGTTTTTGTATTGTTGTAACTATATCACTTTGGAGGTACAATTGCTTAGCCAAAGAAGCTTTAGTAGATGCAGTTATATTTATATAAAGGGGCCTTAGACCAGTATTGTTTGTTCCCCTTCCTGTGTGTGAGCAGCTATACTGATAAAAATAAACGGATGTTCATGCTACTTTAACTCTGCCTGTAATTGTCAAAGTGGTTCAGGCTTTGTGTGTAACAAAGCCAATAAGAGAAAAACAATAGAAACTCATGTCATTTCTGATTTGAACATATTCACATGGATTGATTAACAGAGAGGACATTCTAGTTAGTAAGAGAAAGGTCAAGAAAGTCTCAAAGGTGGATTGCTGAATGGCAAATATTAACAAGTGAATACAAATAAGAAAATCACCAGCTGGGAATGGGTTTGCTTTTGATTTGCCATATACCTCCTGTAAATGCTCCAGATGATGATCTGTCCCATATGTTGCCTTCTCAGGGTCCTGTCTGAAGGAGTTTGCCATCCCCTGCAATGGAATTCAGAGCAAGTTCTCAATTATTTCTTATTCTGGTAAGGCCATTCCAGTATTTCCCTCAGCATGCAGGAGATATTCAGTACCTCTTGCTAGCAACTGACTGCAAATCCCATTAAAATTTGTGATGGTTCATTTCTGTAGAAGGTATTCCTGGCTCTAATTCTGCTCCTGGTTACACTCATGGAAATCAAGAGTAACTTCACAGAAGCTGAGATTTACATCAGTGTAGACCCTGGGTAAATGAAAGGAAAATCAGATCCTATGGGTCTGATTCTCCAGTACCATGGACCTTGTGGAGGCTTTTACTCCTTAGTTACACCAGTGCAAGCTCCAAATACAGGTGCATTCAAACAAGTTTAAATCATGGCTACATTAATTTAGTTTAATCTGTTTTTTTCTTAATTCAGTTAAGTTGTGCTATTATAACTGCAGTTTAAAGTAATTTATGCCACCGTAAGGTAGTACGGTTGGGGATAGTAGTTTTAAGTTCACTCATAGGAGAGATTTGCTGGTGGTTGGCTAAAGAAATCGAGTTAGATTGATCCACTTTTTCTAACAGAAACAACTCAAAGTATGTTAACTGGGGGCATGGAAAACTGATGAGAAAGCATCAAATGCTACAATGTGCTTCCATTCAGCATGGGTGATGTTCTTTGCGTGTATTTAATACCATTAAAATGATTTTATTATGTTCAGGGCATAAGAGATTTATACCCTCTCATTGCAGGAATGAATCTAGGGATGGTGCAGTGGTATAATTGCCTTAACATTGATTCCTTTGATTCCTGCTGCACCCAAACTTTAAAACCAGGAAGGGACAGTGGCATTTCTATTCAGACAACACTGAAGGAGTCAAATAACTTAATGGCACATAAAAATCTACCATATTACTTATGATTTCACTTCATGGATATTAACAACTATGTCTCCTTTTTAATGGTCTTGAATGATGTTCCACTATTCAAACTAGCCTTTCTTCTGTAGTTTTGCTGTCTGTTAGCTATTCCTGGTAATGTTTCACTTCTGTTTCACAGCCCTGCAGTCTGTTCTTAGCTCTAGCTAAAAACCTTAACTCAGTTGTGACAATATTAACTCAGGTGTAGAAATGACTGACAGTGAAGTATTGGAGGCAATGTCAAGGTGTTCAAGTAGACTAGATTTTGGTTTACAAATCTGAAAGAGACATAATGTAACTCTAATGACTACAGGACGAATGCAACAATATCACTTGACTATTTTTTGCCTAGTTTGTTGTGTTTTTTAAACTTAATTTATAATCTAGCATAGTGATGGTCATTCCAATAAATTATACTTGGTTTTGCTTTGATCATAAACTGAATAATATAGTGCTGGGTCCCAAGCATATTAGTAAACTTTCTAGTTTCTCTTTAAGTTTAGAAAAATAGGCGTTGTGTTATATTTGATGATGCACCACACCATCTGCACTCCATTTTTCAAAATCCTAGATCTACCCATGCCTCATTGTACTTTATAAATGTCTTTGTTTGTTTGAATTTTTAAGCATAAAGAAGCTATTAAAGACCACAATATTATCCCATTGAGATCAGAATTCGATTGACATGAAAGGACATGATAGAATTCAATGAATGGGAACAGGAAAGATATAAGGAATATGAGGGATATGAGAAAAGACAGAGGGAACTGGGCTTATTTAGTCTAGAGAAGAGAAGACTGAGAGGGGATTTAATAGCAGCCTTCAACTACCTGATGAGGGGTTCGAAAGAGGATGGAGCTAGACTGAGCTAGACTATCGTGTTGACTCTACAAGCAAATGCTCAGCATTTGTTCCTGTATCACAGAGCCCTGGGCCTGGCAATCTTCTATACATTCATAGCACTAAGAGTGTAATGTAGGGATTCTCAGCCATTTCTGTAGTGTGGGACCACATCTAAATAGACAGCTTATCCCGTGGAAACCTCCCATCCCATTTATGATCACATAATATCTCTGCAGCAACAAGGAGAATTGCTTATCTGAAAAGGGAGGGAAAGAAAGCACTTTTTCATTTGTCTTTTAGTAATGAAGCAGCTGGAAACAAGGAAAGCTGAAAACTGCTCTCCGTGGATCATCATTGGCTCACAGACCATAGTATGTCATAAGAGGATGACACTAGGGTAGAATGGAATTCCTACTAGGACTGAGGCTGCATTACTCCCTATCTCTATCAGCTCAAAGTGATAGATTAAGCTGGAATCCTTTTCATTCCACCCCATGAGCTCCTGGTTTCTTCTATTTAAAGAAACCTAAATCATTGGCTACAACTCCTTTAGGCCCACGTGAGTCTTATCTCCCAGCACTTTGCTCTTACTGTTAGATATACTATTTCTGATTTCTTAAAAGAAAGCTTTCTACTTGCCTTTCAAGTGCCCAGCCATGGAGCCCTTGCATCTTCAATAGGCCCATTAGCTCCTCACAGTTCATGTGTGTTTAGATCTAGGGCTGGGGGCCCACATCTGTGTCAGTTTGGCCTCTTCCTGCTTTCTGCACTCACCTACCCCTATGCAGGACAGAAACACACTCTTTTCCCATTTTGCCTTATGAATTCCAACTACTTCATGAAGGGCACACTGTCCCACAATAATCCAGCCACCTCCTTCGCTCATGCCCACAACCATGGACTGATCTAAGATTATGTAAAGTGGGGTGTAGATGTTGTGGTGCATCAACACATCTAACACAACACCTATTCTCTCCAGATAAAGAGAAATGAGAAGCTTTGCTAATATGGTAGGGATCTAGGGCTGTATTATTCAGCTTAAGACCAAAGCAAAAACAAATAGAACTTTATTGGGATGTGACCTGATTTGCTAGATTATATATAAAACTTAAAAAACACAGCAAACCAGGCTGGGAAGCAAACAGGAGAGAGGGTTGTTAACACCTGTGGAGTGAGGAGAGATTAGAAGGAATCAGGTGGATTATAATGATCCATGATGTCAATTGACTCCCTGAGTGCTGCTTGACTAGGAGTGCCTCTGCCCCTTCCAGGCAGCTTGCTTTAAAGTTTGTGTGGAGCGGAAATCAAAGCACCGCTGCAACCACCCCGGATCTGCTTGTGCCTACAGTCAGTCCTCCTGATACCTACAATAATTGTTTCCCTGACAATTCCTATAAAATGGAAAGACCTTCAAAAGGAATGTATTCACTTCACAGCTGTCTCTGTGGGAACAGGGTGAAATACATTTCTAAGCCCCTTGCTATTCTGTTCCAGCTCCCTTTCTGTGCTTCCAGCTCCCTGTGCATTATCATATCCTCTGAGGGATAGAATTATCAGTTACTCTTTTGCAGAGAAATGAAGGTAATATCTGTGTCTGCAGCCCTTTGTGACTTGATGAGCAGCATCCCAGTATTAGCTTAAAATAAAGCAGGTTGTAAAGATTCTATATCAGAAGTGTCTGGGGCATTTGTATTATTTATTTAAAAATATTAATTAGGACAACTGATGTGATGGCTTAGTCTGTATTTATGATGCTCACCAGAAGAAACTCTGGGTGCCACTGGATCAAAACCAGGGGACAGATTCTAAAACTATTCCCAAACTTGAGCAAGGTTTAGGACTCAGTTGCTGCCCTGCATGGGGAAATTGTTTCAAGCAAACTGGAATAATTCTACTTTTAAAATTATTTTAATTTGACTTTTAAAAATGAATGTAAAACATTTGCAAAGAGACAAAAGCTAAATTGGGGGGAGGAGGGGTTCTTTTAACTGAGAAAAGTGCCCATCCTGAATCAAACTGGTATAAATATATTTGTTTAAATTCACACTAGCAGAACTCAACTAAGTAGATAGCAAGTCCTGATTTGGAAGTCAGAGGGTGCATCTACACAAGACACTTTAATGTGCAGTGGACTGTTCTACTAGCGCCTCATGTCAAAAACTGTACTAATGCACTAAAAAGTTCACCTTTGCTACTGCACATTAGCACAGCTACTATGCCTTTATCTAGTAGGTCATATTAGAGATACTAAACTTAATGCCAGTAGCAAAGGTGCATTCATGACTGTACAGAGGCACCCAGTGGGTGCATCTACATATGCATTAACATAATTTAGTTAATGTGCATTAAGTTTAGTACCTTCAGGCATTTTTACATGTGATGTGGGATGCAGTATTAGGTGCTTTAATTAGTGAGCCATGCTAATTAAAAGTGTCCACACGTCAAGTGTATCAGCGTCCCTGTGCATCCCCAACACTTAAAAAAATGGTGGCAGGGTGCTTTGTACTAAGGTTCATTGAATGTATTTTATTTCAAAGTGCCCTGCCACCATTTTTTTCAGTGCAGAGGTGCTCTGGGATGCTTATACATGTGACTCATAGATTCATAGATTAAGGGTCGGAAGGGACCTAGTAGATCTTCTAGCCCGACCCCCCGCCAGGGCGGGAGAACAACAACAAAAAAAACCCCAAAAAGAGAAACGGGACTCAAATGAGTCCAGCCAGGTAGGCATCCAGCCTCTTCTTAAAGACCCCCAGGGTAGGGGCCAGCACCACTTCCCTTGGAAGTTGGTTCCAGCTCCTAGCCGCCCTAACTGTGAA